ACGCAGCTTGCCGTGAATTTGTTGGGTTTGCAGTGAAGCGTGCCGTGCTACTCTGCAAACGCTCCTCGCCATCAACCCGCCGCTCTCCAACTCGTGTACCTGGTTCCCCATAGTCCTGTCCCTCTGTCTGTCGATATGGCCATCGATCCAGTATCTGGTTTTCCATAAAATACCCCCGGTTATGTTGGCCTAATACTTCATCCCTGAGGTCACTTGAAGAAGTTCCTTTTTTGCCAGGGTGGACTGGAGGTCACTGACTTTTGGCGTCTGTCACAAGCGTGCAGCACCGTGTCCAGGAGGCACAACGAGGGCCAGGCCCAGGCTGACGCGGGCCCTTTGGCACTGTCTGCTGGGGGAGATAAAGCCAGACTCGGCTCAGGATGTCGGAGGGGGTCTCCTGCGTGACTTCCTGGTTGCCGGGGAAGTCAACTTGCCCTCTGACATTTGGACATCTTCCAAGAAGCACCAGAGCCTTCGGCAGGACGCCGAGAGCATGGTACACAGTGGCAGATGGTTCCTCTTTGGATTTGTAAATAGATATATAATTTAGCATGGATCTAATTGCCGTGGTTTACATAGTGCCACAGTTATTTTGATTTGCGTGTTTATTCATCTAAGTTTACCTCATGTGCCTTGACGCGCACATTGGCCTGATACGACACACGTTGTGTCTGGCTTGGGCCACAGAACTCCATGACGTTGGCTGGAGATAGACTCGCATCCCCTTTGCACCGTCATACATTCGGTTTAAGTACTTCTGCAGCCAGTTTTGTTAAATATTGTGAGCTTCTGGTATGCGGTTGTTGTCTACGCTTTGACGCTTGTCAAACAAACACCCTTTTTTGAAAGATTTTCTAATCTGACTTTGGTTTGTGTACTGTGGATTTAGCAGGTGACATGAAGGAGGAACAAAGAGACAGTACGTGTGAACTCCTCACCACCAGGGGCAGCGTGTAAGAAATGTCCCCTGTTGGGTCTGTCCAGTGGGCCTGCAAAACCAGGATGTTCTGGTTAACCTGAGTGCTTTCAGACCGCAGTGTCTGCAGGTGTTCCGGTTCTCATTAAGCAGTCAGGGCCCAGTGCTGATAGAGAGAGAGAGGGCTAAATTAGATAAATAAGCGTAATTAGTTCAATAGGGTGCTTAAGTGCTCTTTTAGACTGAAAACCTGCGAATGTTATGGCTTGTCAGGACCTAGATTGTGCTACTTTCCTTTTGTTGCTGTGTTTTGCAGAAATGTAGATGGATATCTCATCCATCTGCCCTTCTGTCTTCTATGGCTGCTTATGCAGTACAGGACTGTAAAGAACCTGGAGTCTACAGAAGAAGTCATTGCATGTTCATTAAACATCTTAAAGGCGCGTTTTTCAAAAATTCAGAAATTATATATGTTGTCCTTGTGTTTAAAATTCTAATGTCTGTTGCTTTATGCATAATTTCTTTATCAAGTTATCACCATATCTTTGACTACTCTTCTTTTTCATGGGGGAAACCACAACCTCTGCAAAATGGGGGCCCCTGATGTATGAACTATGACACGGCTTACAGATAGAAGCATGTCCAAGTTGTCAAACATAGATTGACATGATAAGGGATATATGCTGTCCTGGGGACCCTCTGTTATTGGCTGATTGAGAGGTCATCCCAAAAAACCTCACCCACACAGGTTCTCCATGGATCAGGTTCCCTACCCCTGGTCTAATGCATGATAACTTTACTCTCCTCAGACCCTATTGCAACAAAAATGCTGCCCTGTGATGTCAGCAAGATACTTTCCTAAAGTAAAGTGCCAGTTGCATGTTTATGTTGCTTGTGATGCAGCGGTAGCTAGATTCACGAGACATGAATTTGTTATTGTCTTGGGCAACAATCCCCAGGGACATTTCTTCCAAATAAATGGATTTCTTCACGTGTGTGGTATGGGCTGGCGTTGGAGTGGATCTTTAACTGGAAGCTATTGGTAACGTGATCTGATGGGCTACTTTCCAAGGGTTGATTCTTCAGGTTGGAGCTTGAGTACCTCTCGTCGGTCGCCGCAACAGTACTGCTGTTTCTGTCAACGCAATATCTGGAGCGTCATGGTTTCTGATGTCAGAATCGGCAACTAAATGAGACCTTCGGGCTCTCTGCCAGTAGGCTCTCGCTTTATTTAGTGCAAACACATGAAATGAAGGATTTATGTACCCTGCCTTGAGGCTTCCTGGTTCCTCTTCTTAAGTCAGTCCTTATTCTAGCTTAATGCCTGTCTCAGCTCCAGTGAGGAGACGAGAAGATTCCACCTTCTGCTTGCTTCATAAGATCTAAGTGTACCTAGGCGGAACAACATGATAAAGATCGGTTGCAGAAGTGAGCTTCAGGTGCAGCCTTTAACATGCATGGCGCTGTTATGTGGGCGTTTTATGCCGTTAACGTGCTGGAAAGCCTTTATCCTGGGAGACGTGAAAAAGTTTGATTCTTGCGTAGGCTTGGGCAGTATCTAATTTTTCATACCGCCATATGGTCCTTACATTATAGCATGATATATGTTTTTTTTGGTGGTATTTTCAAAAGCAGCACTATTTTGGTGTTTTGAAATCTTGGTGATGAATTTCACTGAGAAGGGGGTAGGGTCCCCCCCCCCACGATTAAATTTGGAGGTGGACCAGGTTTCAAAATACAGCAGTATGCCTGAAATACCATGGTAAACTCAAAATACCACCCCATGCTACCCTTGCTGCCTCCCTGTGGACGGTGGACGTTTGGCCCTCGTCGGAGTCACCTGTGTGGTGTGAAGTTATTCATAATGATGAATCAAGTAATGAGTCATAGCCTGTCCCCACTTTCTGCCACATCTGCGTTTCACGCTGGGGGGGGCTGCGTCTGTAAAGATGGGTGGTCGCCCGCTGTGTTTCACTTAATGATGGCTCTCGGATAAGGGCTTAAAGGAAGATAAACAAGTCAGTGTAGGTCCTCTGTGTGTGTTACTACTGTGTTGTGAAGCATGATGTGCAAAGGTGATGTGATGTGCCAGAAGAGGGCATTTTCCCCGGGCACCCTGTGCATGGCAGGCTAGCAGGCTGCCAGATGGAGGTGTGACATCTCGGCTGAGATGGCACCTTCCGGAGTGTTCAACACGTGACATTTTGGGTAGGAGAACACTTGGGAGTGACAGGTATTCTTTTAACAAGGGTTCTGAATGGAGGATCGCCGTCAGCCTGAGAAAAGGTTCTTATGCCACACGATGCGATCCCCGGGTCCTGATAGGGCTGCCATGCTGGGTACGATTTGATAGTCTGGCATACAGTTATGGAGGCATGCCCTTTACAGAGCAGGCTCTTTGGGGGAGATCGCATCAGCGATAACGCATCGTAGCCGGGGGGGGGGGGGGGGATCCGGCGCCACAGAAAGTGTTTCCCTAGTGGTGAGAAGACAAACCTGCCTATCGTGGCATCCTGGCTGCTGCAGGGCCAGTGATACGTGTCTGGGAGCTGGCAGAAAATGGCCAGAACTGTACACCAGAGACGCCCCGAGGAGCAACTGTGAGAGCCCGCGCATGGCCACAGCAGCCAGGCTAAATGGCCCGTTGGTTTGGGGCTGACACGGTGGAAAGTCGGTTATGGATGCTTTCCTGTTAATGTCACAAGCCATTTTCTGGGCCGTCGGCCTGAGCGTGGAGGGGAAAGTGCTGCCCTCAGCACTGCCGCCCAGCTCGGCGCGCATCGCCATCGATCTGTTTCACGTTTTAATCAAACGGCAAAGTGAAATGCCTTTGATCCCGCCGTGACATGTTTGCACTTGTCGCTGGTTTGCATCTTTTTGTCCAGATAACTGGCTAAATCTTCGCTCTTTTCATTGGCGCTTGTTAGCGCTGATTTAGGTAAGCATGCTAACGAAGCACGGTTCCCTTCCATGGCGCTGCTCATCTACGTTCTGAGCCCTATCGATCTATGTATTTTTGGATACACGCCGTGTGCGTCCATGCTGTGCATGTCACACTCTGCCAGCGTGCCGACTATGAATATTTCAGAAGCCGGTATGCTCACGCCCCCCCGGTGAGATTCTGACGAGATGCTGACAGCATCTCTGGACACCGGCCTGGACCGACCTGGGGCAGACCAAAATGGATCCATTGCAGCCTTGCATTATTTATTTATGCCCACTGCCTTTTTGGACACTGGTGAAAGCTCCGGTGAGGGCTGCAGTGGTGGTCTCCATTCACTCCTCCGTCAGCACTGCTCTGGGGGGAAGGTGGAGGTGCTTTTGTTCACTGCTTCCGCACCCACTGGTCCTCCCTTAAAATAATTAAAATGAATGAGATCATCTCATGACATTATTTATCATCTGTGGTGCCTCTCAGCGCCCATTTCCCAACACGAGGTGTTGGGTATCACTGCCTCCAGGGTTATGTAATGGCCCTACGTTTAAAGATCAGTGCTGGAGAGCCATAAAGTAATAGAGATAATGGCTTTTCCTGCTGTCAGCAGATTTGAGATTTATACAGTTGCGAACTGATGGCAGTGGACAGTGATATCGATTCGGAGTACCCTTTCATCCTTGCGAGCGTCAGCTGGGTTTTTTTTTTTTTTTAAAGAATCATTCAAGCTCAGTTGACACGTCAAGTATTGAACGTGAATAAAATTGCCCCCACCCCCAAGTTAGCTACCCTCGCAAGACATTAAAACAATATTGATTAATAGCAGCGGCAGCCATTAATGACAGTATCCTCGCAAGCCGGCTACGGTCATCATCTCATGGCGTCTGTGTGAGCCCAAGGTTTCTGTTTCAAGTCGTTAGCATTTTTATTTCAAAGGGGCAACACAGACCCCTCCATGTGCAGCCACACCCAGAGAGGTCCTCACCCAAGCTAGAGCATTATTCCATTGGGCAGCTACTTGGAGCCTCATCCCTCGTCAAGAGTTGATCACTGCATCTAACAGTCTGAGCCACTGCAAGCCCAGCTTTCCAAGTTAAGAAGCATGTGCTTCGAGAGGATAATGAGCCATGTGGGTTATTCCTGTCCCAGGACCGCAAGCTGTCCAAGGTGGAGCGGCAGAGGTTCAAAGAGGAGGCTGAGATGCTGAAGGGCCTTCAGCACCCCAATATTGTGCGCTTCTACGACTTCTGGGAGTCACCACTCAAGGGCAAGAAGTGCATTGTGCTGGTGACGGAGCTCATGACGTCAGGGACGCTAAAAACGTGAGCCGGGCTCCGCTCGAGGGTGCCAACGGGTCATGGGCTTGCAGAGGGGATCGGACCAATAGCGGTCGGCTCTGTTTGCTGGTGTCCTTGCAGGTACCTGAAGAGGTTCAAGGTGATGAAGCCCAAGGTCCTGAGAAGCTGGTGTCGGCAGATCCTGAAAGGCCTGCACTTCCTCCACACCAGGACGCCACCCATCATTCACCGGGACCTCAAGTGCGACAACATCTTCATCACCGGCCCAACCGGCTCTGTCAAGATCGGAGATCTTGGCCTGGCCACGCTGAAGAGAGCCTCTTTCGCCAAAAGTGTCATAGGTGAGTGAACATCATGCCTGCTTTCCTGTCATGCCTCTGTGGCTCATGATATTTACTTGAGTTACTTACTTCATATTGTACACAGGGAGTCCTTTCGATGAACCGAAGCTGAGCGATTGTCCTATGCTTGTCTCATGCACTGACAGAGTGGAAGGCAAAGGTAGCTTGTGTTTTTAATCAGTTATCTAACTGCTTTGTAGGGACCCCTGAATTCATGGCTCCAGAAATGTACGAGGAGCACTACGACGAATCCGTGGACGTCTACGCCTTCGGCATGTGTATGCTGGAGATGGCTACCTCGGAATACCCATACTCCGAGTGCCAGAATGCTGCCCAGATTTATCGGAAGGTCACCAGTGTAAGTTAGGGGTTAATGTCACTCTTACAGTACTGTGTGTGTGTGTGTGTGTGTGTGAGTAATGTTTATATTATATTGTGGGGACCAAATGTTCCCCATAATGTAATAAAGACCTGTTATTTGAACATTGGCGGACTATTTTCCCCACAAAGTGACTGCAATCAAAAAACTAAAAATGCCAAAAGTATATTGTTTGGTTACTTATGGTTAAGGTTAGGGTTAGGGCTGGGTAGAGGTTACATTGTGGTGACCAAATGACTTTACATCTCACATCACACTAACCAGTCCATGAACTGATAGCTCATTATACTTATTCAAACCTTTGCAGTTCATTGAGCAAAAAGATTTCTTAGGATTTCCTTAATACATGTGTATTACTGTAGATTGTACAATACTCTCTCTACAAGTATCCCCGGGATTAATAAAATTAGCATTAATTTGCATGTGTGTGTGGGCTAGTCATAAGAACTTTAAATAGTTCAGTACAAGAGCCAGAAAAAAGGATGACCAGAGTTTGACGTCAGTACTTTATTCTTACCATGAATTTGGGCCTCAAGTCTAATAATGAGCCAGTGTGGCTGAAGTGTTAAGAGTTCGTAGGTTGATGAGCCAGCTACAGGTAACAAGGAATCACTTCATGGTTACAGTAACATAAAACCTACATGATGGAAGTAAATGTTGTAAGTGTGCAGTGTAGAGTTCCGGGTGGGAAGGAGGGTTAGGGACTGGTAAACCGATCAGACTTCCGTTTGGAAACTGTACATTCATGCGACAGAGAAAGAGACCAGCCACACGGGCTGGATACTGCAGCCTGATACCATGTAAAAAGCTACTTCTCCATCCTGAAGAGGAAAGGAATGCTGTGTGGTCCTTCAGTGGGGTCCCATGCCAGCATCCTGCAGAAGGGCTGTGGGCTTCTGGGAAACCTCACGTGTCACTTCCTGTCTGCGTGCCGCTGTCCAGCAGTCTGCCAGATTTTCAGCTCTCCATGTGCATTTTACTCCCGTTCATATGTCTCCATTTCCCAGGGGGTGAAACCCGCAAGCTACAACAAGGTGACAGATCCAGAAATTAAGGAAATTATCGGGGAATGCATTTGTCAGAAGAAGGAGGAGAGGTGAGTCTGATAATGACAGACGGGCCTGTTATTTCTGAATGGTGTGTGATCACAGTCTTGCACATCTGAAATGTATTGGATGCCCGTAAATGTTCCAAATGAGGGAATATCTGTTTCTTCAGTTTTTGACTGTTCCTGCAGTTTATTAGAGCGGCATTAACGATGCCCACCGTTTCTGATCGGTCTATGTCACCGTTGGCTGTGACGTACGTGTGATCTGTTCGTGTAGATTTTCCATTAAAGACCTCCTGAACCACGCATTCTTCGCGGAGGACACTGGAGTCCGGGTTGAACTGGCAGAGGAGGATGACGGCAAGAAATCCTCTATAGCCCTGAAACTTTGGGTTGAAGATCCCAAGAAGCTGAAAGGGAAATATAAAGAGAGCGGTGCTATAGAATTCACCTTTGACCTGGAAAAGGAAGTTCCCGAGGGTGTTGCTCAGGAAATGGTGGGTGCACATATGAGAATTGTTTTGTTTTTTTTGCCAGCCAGTGCATGTTCTGTATTTCAGGATGGATATTCTGTCACATCATTAAACCTAGAGCTTCTTCAAGCACTCGCTGCAGTGACCCCTACATCTCAGGAGACCCCGTAAGCAGAAACTGCCCTAGACAGGTCTTCTGAGCACCATCTGTGTCCAGGAGCCACATAACTCTCTGTCTCTCTCTCAGACTCTGCCTTCATTTTATCAAATGGTCTATTGTTAAAATTAGGGAAAAAAACTGTCTGTTTACGAGAAAATGAACAAACAAGGTAAGAAGCCAAACACCCCCCACACCATGATCTTGAGCAAAAGACTTGTGCAAACAGCTTCCTTGTGTGTGACCAAGAATGTGCCCTGATCCAGATTGAGGTTGATAGCTTCTTTCTGAATTCCAAGAATCTTTCACTTGCCTTTCACTCAGATTGAGATAATAAGGAATCACAGTGACTCCTGCCAGTCGTGTTGTTTTTCTTTCATTGTTTTGTGTTTGTGGGGTTGAGCGTATCTTCATTCCTGATTCTGAAACGATGCTGGGTGCTGAATATTTGATAAATATGACTACAGGAGATTTTTATTACTGGTGTGTTTAATAATTCATTAATGAGCAGTCACCTGAGTGGCCGCCGTGGGCCGCTGGGGTCTTTAATTCCCCACATGCTCAGAGAGTGAAGCAGCAGCTCAGAAAGGCAGTGAAGTAGCATTTGATTGGCCCAGGGTTACATGTGACCATTCTGTCAGCATGCAGAGGCGGCGTGCCTCTCAGAGCCTTCCCCCTCCTCCTCTGCAATCCTGAGTGAGGGCTGTTCTTACCAGGCGTTGGGGGGGCTGGGGGCTGCCTCTGCTGCTGCTGCTGCCCCGTGTTGTCACAATACCTCAGGATGGGTCAGGCCTCCTGGGGGGGATTAGTACACTATAGTTCCTGTCTGCCTCTTATTGTCCCATCTGGGTAGGAAAATTCCCCAGCTTTAATTAGAGGTTATGCAATTATTTGCATGTGAAAATGGGGGATGAAGCTGGGACAGTAATTCCCGACAGCTCTGCTGCCCGGAACTGAAAGTATCGATTAATGGCGCAGTGAGCCAGCCTGCTCTCTCTGCCATTGAGCAGATATTAAAGTTCTTCGGTGCAGTGAGTAGGTGGCGCTAGAATGCCGTATGGTGCCCGCGCCCGACCGGTTCGTGACACCTGTCTCCTGTGTGCCCAAACCCCACAGGTGGAGTCCGGCTTCTTTCACGAGAGCGACGCCAAGATCGTGGGCAAGTCCATACGGGACCGTGTGTCGCTGATCAAGTGGAAGAGGGAGCGAAATGTGCCGGCATGTGACAGGGATGCACATCGGCCAGCGGAGGGCGCTCCACCCCAGCAGACTCCGCCACAGGTGCCTGACGGTCCAGCGGCACACGGCGGTCCCCCCGAGCCTGAAGAGCCTGAGGCTGATCAGCACGCCCGGCAATGCAACCTGCCCGCCAGCGCCACCTCTGTTACATGTGAGGCATTGCACATGCATTCTCATATACACAGGCACATTCAAAATGTCCAGTGCCCAAAAGATTAAAATGTGCTAAAATGACTCAGACTCATATATCTATTTGAATATATGTGTGTGTGTGTCTGTATTTATATATATTCATTCATTCATCCCCCTATAAGAGTCTATTTGCTGAGTGATGGCTGACAGGCTGCCTGTGTATTGGCTGCACACTTCCCTCCCCAGTTTGATTAATATCTGTGACATTTCAGCTGCCTAAGCGTCTCTGCAGGCCTTGCCACCCCTGACCCAAACCAGGTCGCAGGACTCGTTCAGCCCATCGCTGCACTTTGCCATAAATCTGCACCTTCCACATTTACAAGCCATCCATCTACCTCACCTGTACTACACTATTCAATTTATTTGTGATTTATATATTTTTTAGGGAGTAGATCTGTTGTGCTTTAGCTTAGGGTGACCACCTAATGTATGTCAGGAGTGGCACTATGAGCTACGGTAAGGTTTATGAACTACCAATTCAACCATTTCAATTAAAAGGACTTAAGCACTGATTTCTTGCTGTGTGCTGATTGGTCAGTCTCCTTTAATCATATGTTTGTCACTAATGTTAATGTGAAATAGCTGGATGAGTCTTTCAATCAAGGAAGCAAACCAGTAAATGTACAAGACAAACTGAACAATTCAGCTGAGCACAGGAGCATTTCAGTTTTAAAGTAGTTTGTAAAACCTGAAGTAGCTCATAGTGTCTCTCCTGACGTGGATTATCTGGTCACCCTAATTGTGCTGCATGTTCGTTCACCGTGGGTGATAGTTAAAGCACTTTTGTTATCTTGAAACTTTTAACTGCTTTGCTTTACTGACGTCCTGGCGCGTCTTGCGATCTGCACTTGCTGGTGCGGGTTGAGAGATTCAGGAGAAGTTGTTCGTAGGGAGCCGCTCGCTGTGGCTAGTCGCCTGCTTGTCTGTATTGTCTTACAAAACGACTCGATAATCAGGCCAAGTGAGCGTGTGAGTATACCGCAAACGACTCGCCACCACAGTACGTGGGTTTGGGTGTCAGGTTTTCCTTCCTCTGTTCAGGCCACATGTTTCCCTGTTGTTTTTTTGGGTGACTAACATGCAGAGTGTCTTCTGTCCCGGATGTGTCTGTGTGGCTCACAGCAGATGGCACCTTCGACAGTGGCCTGGGCTCCACTGCCTACTCCGACTCCCATGGCAGCCAGCGAGGTGCCCTCTACCAGTCGCTGCTGGAGGCCTCTACTGCCCCCGCACCACAGGTTCGTGGCCATCTCTCTCTCTCTCTCTCTCGCTCTATCTGTCCATCTCCGTGTGCGCGTCTGAGCCGGCCCTCACGCCCTCAGACGCCCACCGCCATCCTCATTCCTGCAGTGAGGCACGAATGAATTCCTCCGCTTTTTCTGAGATGTCGATCGGAGCCCCACAGCAGATCCGTGCTCAGATGGGTGCGGCCGGTGCGGCCATGTTGTTTTGGCCAAGCGACCTTGACGTTTCTCTCTCTTGCCTACCGCTGTGCGAGCAGCACCGTTCCAGCGTGCCCTGTGTGATCTGGGAGCCCCCCCCGTCTGACGGCTGCTCCGACGGCTGTAGCGCCTGGCCGCCTGCAGGGGGCTGCCTCTCTGCCAGGCGTGCCAGCGCCTCCTTGGTGGAAGCTGTGCGCTGCGACGCTCGCCTGAGCCCCACGTACCGTCCCCTAACGCCCCCACCGTGCTGCTGCTACCCGGGGCACCGGACCGCCTCTGACCGGAGGGGCATGTGGGCTGCAGATGAGAACATGTCTTCCTCAGAGTCTAGCCCTACATGCGATGGTTTTGCCCTGCTGAAGCCCCCTTTGCTGCTTCACCCCCCCCTGCTGCACTGGGACGCCCGTCGCCACAGTGACTCTTCTGTGGAGCCTTCCCCGGCCGAGCTCCTGGCTCGGCGCCACTCGGACCTGGGTTCCCCACTGAGCCCCAGCTCGCCTCAGTACGTGGCCGGCTTGCCCTGCTGCGAAGCCTGCATATCCCTCTGTGGCCCATGGACCGGCTGCAGGTCCTCCCTGTGTGGGGCGCCGCCCATCACGGCCAGCAGGGGCACCGCTGAGAGCCCAGAACTCACCCTCCTGCACAAGTCTCTGCACTACATCATCAGCATGAAGAGACACGGCCCGCCCCTCACTCCAAGCTCGCCTGACAGAGGCCCACGCCGGCCCTCCTTTGGCCACAAGGAGGCCCCCAGCTGGTCACACTCCCGGCCCTGGGACGAGAGCCCCGGCCGTCTGCGCAGGTGCAGTGATGAGGCGCCTCTGAGCCCACAGCGCGTGGAGTTAGCGTGTGGAAACTGGCCCGGTGTCACGGTAGGTTAGAGGACGGAGGCCGAGCACCACCTGCCTCTACAACCTGTAGTCCTGGCGAACGCCATGAGCATGGGGCTGCCACTCTGGGGTCTGCGGGTCGGGGCCTCTGCCTGCAGGGGGCAGCAGACTCCTCTTTTCGTTCCTGCTTCGCTTTTCCACTGGTAGTAAAAGGGTCTTTTAAAACATGGTGGTGCGTCACTTTCTCTTCCCCATCTGAGAGGCCATGCTCCCCCCCATCCCACAACTACCAGCTGCTCCTCTGGGATGGTGCACTGAGGCTTCTGTGAATGGCTCACTACCCACATTCCCCCACCTTTGCTATCCTAGGCTGGGTCTATGGATGTCTGTCAGATCTTTTGGGGCGTCTTCTCCCCCTTCTCCACACTGCAGTTTGGAAGCTTTTCAGTGTTGATTTATCGATGCACAACAATTTTCTCTTTCAGCAAGTGCTTGAAGTGTAAATCCGTTCATATATTGCTTTTAATACAGATTTGTTCTCTTCCAGTCTGGGATGCCGGTCTCTCCCAAAACGGCTGCCACAGCTCCACCTCCACTGGCCGGCCAGCTGCCTGCACAGTCCTTCCAACCTGCAGCTCCCTCTTTACAGCAGAGCCAGCAGCCTGTGCAGACCTACCAGACTGCAGCATCCAGTATGCAGCAAATTCACCAGACTGCGCAGACCTTCCACCCTGCAACTCCTTCTTTACAACAGAGCCAGCAGCCTGTGCAAACCTATCAGGCTGCAGCGCCCACTATGCAGCAGAGCCATCAGACTGCGCAGACCTTTCACCCTGCAACTCCCTCTGTACAACCAAGCCAGCCGACTATACAGACCTTCCAGCCTGTAGTGCCCTCTGTACAGCCGAGCCAGCAGTCTGCGCAGACCTACCCACCCGCAGCATCTTCTGTTCAGCCGACCCAGCAGACTGTGCTGATCCACCCGGCTGCAGCGCCCTCTGTACAGATGACCCAGCAGCCTGCACAGACCTACCCGGCTGCAGCACCCTCTGTACAGATGAGCCAGCAGCCTGCACAGACCTACCCAACTGCAGTGTCCTCTGTACAGCCGAGCCAGCAGACTGGGCAGACCTACCCAGCTGCAATGACCACTGTACAGCCAAGCCAGCAGTCTGCACAGATGTACCCAGCTGCAGCACCCATTGCACAGGCTGGCCAGCCAACTGTGCAGACTTACCAGGGAGTAGCTGCTACACAGCAGTGCCAGCTAACTGCACCGGCTTACCCACCTGCAGCAGCCATTTCTCAGTCAAGTCAGCAGACTGCGCAAGTGTACCCAGCTGCAGCATCTGCACAGACCTATGTATCTGCAGCAGCCACTGCACAGCATGTCTCAGTAACTGCACAGATGTATTCAGCTACAGCAAACACTGTACAGCAGAGCCAACTGACTGCACAAATCTATTCAGCCCCTGCACCAATTGCACAACCATGTCAGCTAGCTGCGCCGACCTACTCAGCTGCAATGGCTGCCCCACAGCAAACCCAACAAACTGCACAGACCTACCCAGCTGTAATACCCACCCCACAGCAAACCCAGCAAGCTGCGCCAGCTTATGCAGCTGCAATAGCCACCCCACAGCAAACTCAACAAGCTGCGCAGACCTACCCAGCTACAATAGCTGCCCCACAGCAAACCCAACAAGCTGCGCAGACCTACCCAGCTACAATAGCCGCCCCACAGCAAACCCAACAAGCTGCACAGATCTACTCGGCTGCAATTGCCACACCTCAGCAAACTCAGCAGCCTGCGCAGACCTACCCAGCTGCAATGGCTACCCCACAGCAAACACAACAAGCTGCGCAGACCTACCCTGCTGCAATAGCCACCCCACAGCAAACTCAGCAGCCTGCGCAGACCTACCCAGCTGCAATGGCTACCCCACAGCAAACCCAACAAGCTGCGCAGACCTACCCAGCTGCAATAGCCACCCCACAGCAAACTCAGCAGCCTGTGCAGACCTACCCAGCTGCAATAGCCACCCCACAGCAAACTGAGCAGCCTGCGCAGACCTACCCAGCTGCAATGGCTACCCCACAGCAAACCCAACAAGCTGCACAGACCTACCCAGCTGCAATAACCACCCCACAGCAAACTCAGCAGCCTGCCCAGACCTACCCAGCTGCAATAGCTACTCCACAGCAAACTCAGCAGCCTGCGCAGACCTACCCACCTACAGCACAGCCAGCTGAGTTGGCTTCTCAAAACTACGCATCTGCGACATCGACTGCACAGCATGGCCAGCAGGTAAGAGTGGCGCCAGCCGCCTGACAGCTCCGACACTCTCGGCTGGGGCTGGCGGTAGTCTGTCCGTTTGCGGTGATGGGTGCCCAGTTTCCGGCAGCGTAATTCTGAGTCACAGCTGCGTCCGCAGACCGTGACCCTATGTGGGAGATGAGTGTTTTTCTTATGCTCTGTTTTCATCTCTCACAGTTCCAACCCTATTTCCACACTGCAGCTTTCCAGTCACAGGTAGATCTTCGTTCCTCTGATTGCACATTCATCCTGCACCCCCCGGGTTTGACTGAAACCACACTGTACAGGATGGGGTGCTGGAATAACTTCACAAAGATTCACTTTTGTGTCCCGCTTGATGTTTTACATCAGTTGTCTTTTGGTTTGAAATGATGGTATCATGGCCTTTTTGAAGGTTCTGTGATTTATTTGGATCTTTTATTTTGAGGCTTTTGTTTTCCATGTGGAAGGTAAATGAGCTAATTCAGGCTCCCGATAAGCTTGTTAAACACCAGCCGTTTGCCTGCACTCAGGAGCAGAAGGAGAGACGTGGCTTCCCGCAGTGACTGAGCCCCCCCTCCTGTTACGCTGACCTCCTTTCCTCTCTCGCTTTCTCTCCCCCATCTTCTGCCTCTTCTCACTGCAGCAGCTCTCCACGGGGCAGAACTTTGCTCAGCTCGAGGGAGCAAACCAGGCTGGCCAGAAGGCAGCGCCGGGCCAGCCACCACAGGCCATGCCGGCGACTC